TTACTTTTTTGATTTCTTGATTCTTCATTGAAAATGGGGATTTGATCTTGAACTTTCTTCTCTTTCCAATCCCAAGCAGCCTTCTCGTTATCTCTACAAATAATCAATTTATTCTTCTTCAAATTAAAGAGTCTATAATCCTTTGATTTTGAGCTATAACCCACAGAGATACATTTTTCACTAGCTTCGTCAAGTTTGTGCCTCACTTCTCTTGGAATATAAGCAAAACAAATACACCCAAAAACTTTCAAGTGTTTCAATGATGGCTTCCTTCCACTCCATGCTTCAAATGTAGTTTTATTTTCCACCGCTTTTGTTGGACTCCTATTCATCAAGTAAGCAACCGTATGCACGGCTTCACCCCAAAATGATTTAGGTACCCCCTTCTCATGAAGCATTGATTTTCCCAACTCAATGATTGTTCTATTTTTCCTTTCTGTCACTCCATTTTGTTGTGGAGTGTACCCAACCGTTAATTGTCTCTCCAAGCCAATATCTTCACAAAACTTTTCAAACTCATTTGACTTGTATTCTCCACCTCTATCACTTCTTAACACTTTGATAAGATGGCCATTTTTCCTTTCAACAAGCTTTTGAAATTTTCTGAAAATAGAGAACACATCTTATTTTTGTCTCATGAAATAAATCCATGTCATTCTTGAAAAATCATCAACGAAAATAATAAAATACTTGTTACCCGCATGAGTTGGTGTTGTCATTGGTCCACACACATCGATATGAACAAGCTCCAATGGTGTTTTAGCCCTCCATGCCTTCTCTTTCGGAAATGACTCTCGGTGATGCTTGCCAAGAGTACAACCTTCACAAACTTCTTTAACTTCTTGTATTGTTGGCATTCCATACACCATACTATTTTGTTGTAAATTCTTTTAAGTTTTGGAAATTCAAATGGCCAAGTCTTCTATGCCAAAGCCATGACTCATCAACAACATCCATCTTCAAGGCCATATTTTTTTAACATGAAAAAGTGAGAGGAAAGTATCTATTTTTGCCCATCTTGATTTTTGCCACAATATGATTTTGTCCTCCCTTATCATAAATTTTGCAAAAGTCATCATCAAAATGAATGGAGTACCCATGCTGTACAAGCTGTCCAACACTTTACAAATTTTGCTCCAAATCCAGAACAAGTAACACATCCCGAATATGTTTTCTTCCTTTTTTTGTCTCTATGGCAATAGTATTTTTTCCCTTTGCTTGGACCAAGGCACCGTTTCCCATCCTCACTTGAGAATTTGATGAAGAATCAATCTCCAAGAATATATTTTTATCTCCGGTCATGTGGTTACTACACCCATTATCAAGAAACCACACATCATCCTTTTGTTCCGATGTCGAGTGACAAGCATAAAACATGCTCGTTTCACCTTCTTGCTCTTCGGAAAAATTAGCTTGCGGATTTGTTTTCAACCGACAATCTTTTTGAACATGTCCAAATTTCTTGCAATTGAAACATTGAGGTTTTCCTCGAAACCAACAATCTTTGTCAACATGGCTACTTCTCTTGCAAATTCCACAATTTTGTTGAGTGGACTCTTTATTTCCACTTCTCTCAAAATTATTTTTTCCTCTTCCTCTTCCGTGTCTTCCACCTCTAGAAGATTCACCTTTGGATCGATCAAAACTTGATGGGTATTTTTCTTGATTTTTGAAACTAACATTGAGCTTGGATTGAAAAGCATTTTCAATTGTCTTTTCGGAGCACCTACTCAACTTTTACTCAAATGCTTTTATGGAACCCATCAATTCTTCAACACTCAAGTTTTCAAGCTCTTTAGTCTCTTCAATAACAGCAACAATAGAGTCATATTTTTCCAGCAAACTAATCAGAATTTTTTCAACAATTCTTTAATTAGAAATATCTTCCCCATAGGTCTTCATTTGATTTACCACCTCCATAAGTTTAGAAAAATAATCTTTCAACAACTCCATTTATTTCATTTTCATATTTTCAAAATCTCTTCTCAAAGATTGGAGTTTTACAGTTCTTACCTTCGTGCTGCCTCTATACTCCTCGAGAATATCCCATGCCTCCTTTGCTTTAGAAGCATTAATAATTCTGGGAAAGATTGTATCAGTAACTCCTTGTTGAATCAAGCCTAAAGCTTTTGCATCTTTCTTCTTATGATCTTTCAATTGTTGTCTTTGGGCATTCGTCAAAGTTGTTGTATCCTTCGATTCATCATACTCATCTTCAACATAATCCCATAAATCATATGAGAGAAAAATGGTTTTCATCTTCACATACCAAAAATTATAATTTTCCCCATCAAAAATAGGAAGTGCTGATTGATGGACACCTTGGTTTTGATTGCCTGTAGTCGCCATCACGATGGATCTTCTCCGGGTTTGTTTTCCCGTCAATAAGCTTCACGCCCAGTTTGCTCTTGATCGAAATCAAGCTCTGATATCACTTATGTTGGCTGTAGTTTCAACCAACTAAATAATTTCTAAGTGAAGAGAGGAGAGAAACAAATATTGTATTGTATTAAATTCTTTGTTGTGTTGATATGCCTTAACAACAAATCCCTTACACTATATATACTATTCTCCCATAAATCTTTGAACTTTTCAAGATAATTCTCAACTACACATATGATACATGCACTCACATGATACATGTATCCACTTGATACATGTATAATAACAGATGCATAAATGAACATATACATGAATGAACATGGCATTAATCTAATTTTAACAGTTACTCCGTATATTATTATACAAAATACACAATCTGTCTTTGGGAAAACCCAATTTGGGTTTGTTCAAAACCACCTGCGATGGGGGTGGCAATCACCATCTCCAGCTGCCACCAACAATGGTGTGGGTTGGGTTTACCATTGGTGTGTTTCACATACACAATCAATGGTGTTAAAAAATTTCTAAGAATGTCCACCAATTTATCACTGGCAACGGATGGTATTTGTAATTGAATAAATTGAATGAAAAAATAAAGAGAAATCAATTCGTAAAAAAAAAAAAAAAAAAAAAAAAAGAAAGAAGAAGAAAACAACATTGTTTACGACTACAATATCAAATATTTCAGTGAATGACTTTGTATGCTTTTTATTAGAGTGAGAGAGAGACAAATTATGTAGAAAGAGTATTGAACTTTAGGACCCCAGTTTATTAATGGTGCTTTTGTCATTTCATATTAAACTCTAAAACTATTATTGTCTTTTAACACAAGGTAATTTAGTCATTTTATATGAGCATTTTTTTTTTTTTTTGTAATTTAGTCATTTTATATAAGTAATTTTTTTTTTTTTGGTAACTGAAAGAAAGATAACCGGAGGGGTTGTTTAGCACTTGTGCCAAATTGGGAGGTCAAAATAATAAATTTTAAATGTTGAGGTCAAAATAGAATTATGTAAAATTTTAAAAAATATATAAATAATTATAATATTAATTTTTATATAAATATTGATCTTAGTATGTGCAGATATATACATATATCATGAAAAATTATAACTAAAAAAAATATTGCCACCTAAATAAATAGATGGAAAACTAATATGACCTATAAAACCATCATTTTTTTCTTTTGTAAATGTTTCAAATTTTCAAAAATTTAATTTTTTGATTTTTTTTTGAATACTTTGATTCCATTTTTGCAAAAATTTAATTCTAGCTAAACAAATCTCACAGGTTTAATAAAACACAATTGTACCTTTAGTAATTTATATAATGAGTAGTGCTTAATTTCTTTGCCGGATCTTTTCTGAAGCTTTTTTGGTTTGGGTCGTTAATGCTCAGAGCTTTTCGCCGTCGCGCCTACCGAATTGTTGTAGTTCTTCGTCGGAATCAATAGCTGCAACTGCTTCCTTTGCTGGAGTCTTTGCTGGAACAGTTTGCCACGCCGGAGCTGTATTTCTCTTTCTGCTCTAGCCGGTTTAAATGGAGTTTTCGAAATCAATAGCTACAATTGCGACTGCTTCCTTCACAACTGGGTTGTGAAGAATTTTTTTTTTAAAGAAATTGAAGATGATAATGATGGTGGTTGTTTATATTTCTTTTTGTTGGAAATTTGGTGATGATGTTGTGGTGGTGATGGCGACGGTGAGGCTTGTTTGGTTAGTGGTTTTGTTTAGTGTTTTTTGTTTTTGCTAGGGTATTTTTAGTAACATTTGTTGTGCTTTTTAATAATATCGAAGCGCTTCCAAAATTAAGGCAAAAATCAGAAGTATCAAAATGACATTTTTGTTTATTTCTGCACTGTAACAAAGCACTGTTCAAAAACAAAAATTCTAAAATAACATTTTTAACTATCCATTCAAATTTTCAAACTTGCAACACTTTTTATCAAACATGCTTTCATATTTTTGCTTCTAAAAATATTATAATAAATTTACGTTACCAAATAAACTTCTAAATGGTGTAAAACACACTCTAAAATTAGAAATATTGCTTCTATTTCGGGTCAAAACAAAAGCACAAAACTGTGATTGCCAAAAGGGCCTTGAATTTTTTTTTTATTATTGTTATTATATATATATATATTTTTTTAGCTATACCAATGAGTGAAGTGCAAAAAAAAATCACTATACTTTAAGATTAGTACTGTATACACCTTTTTGGGCAATTTTAGAAGAGTAAAACAAGTATAACAGCACTAATTTATGTCATACTCTGTATGTTTTAGAGGTGTTTCTGTGCAATGTGAAAAAGAATAGAAATATTTTTTTGCACACATTTTCTAATAGGGATAAAAGTATTAGGGAGAGTATATATATATATATATGTCAAAGTTAGTGTAATGAGATTTCAAACAGTTGGGACTGGTTTAACTACAAGTCTCTTCCCGGCCGGGTTCAATAAACTATATGCTGCATCATTAATTTCATACCCAAGAAAGGAAAAAGAAAAAGAAGAAGAGCATTATACCTGCCCAGGGGTTTCTTAAATCTCATATACATTTTCTTAATAGATTGTAACTATTCCTCTGTTTGTTTTTCCCAGACAAATTAAAGAGAAAATTAAGAAAGAAAATAGTCAGAGAGTTACAAAGTAACTAAATTCAATTCACTCACGAATGAGGCACGCATACACGTACAAACAAGACTTTAAATAAGCAAACAGTACTAGATCACATGCCTAATACCTAGCTAGCTTTGACACACACACATATATAAACACTGGAAATCAAGGAAAATAAGATTCAATACAAATCCAATCTGCAGGATCACTTTAGACACACGCATGCAACAAATTCGAATTACAGGAAATAACAAGATACATGCATCGAGATCTGCCGTGACCCACCATGATATACACACCTGCAGAGAGAAATACTTGTCCCGAATTAATTACTAGTAGTGCTCAGCTACCTACCTAGCTAGCTCCTTATTTGAGGCAAACTAACAATTAATTTCCAGAAATTAATACTTAATTAGTTATTAGGTACGTACCTATTCATATGTGGTGATTTGTTTTGATATACTTGCAAAGATGGTCACATTGAGTGGGAGGAGACCAGACTTGGAAATAGGTTTAGAACCCCAGTAAGAAAAAGAAGTAGAATTCCGGCGATGAGGGCGATGATGGTCCACGGGTTCTTCAAATGCTGGTGCTTTAATTGAGCCATATAATTCAACACTTTGTTGTCGTAGTGGTCCTGAATGCCTTGCTTGACTTGACGATAAGCAGAAGGATGGGGCACCAAGTCCTTGCCTATCTCATTGAAGAGTTTAGCCACTTGCTCGTCGCTGCCAAGGCGGTTGCGGAGTATTTTGGCTGAACGCAGCTTCCTAACATCGTCAGCGTGATCAATAAACGAATCCAGAAAGCATACATAAGAAGTCACCCATTTATCACCCGAGGCACGTGGGCAGTACATTTCGTAGGCTATTAAATTCATCAACTTTGGCCTTGTTGTGTCGTCAACTGTTATTGGAGGAAGCCTTAGGCGGCCAGAAAGGCTGAGAGATCTATAATGAATGTCCGTCAAGCAACTAGTCTTTGAAAGCTTCACTTCGATGCCCGCTGCTTTGAGCTCCATCACATTCCGGACCGTGTACGAATTGGCCGCCTCAGCATAATAACTGCTTTGAAGACGTTCATCACCACTTCTACTTCCGGTGCCTACCATTCTTTTGTGCAGAAGCTCAAGAAGATGCGCAGGGGGTTCATTAATAATAACATCCCGAAAATAACTTCCAAATATAAATTCACGAATAAAAAAGCAATGTGTTCTACGTGCCACCATAACATTTATGTGTTCAATGAAGCTTATCACATGATTCACCCAATAACGTGTATCCGTGATCATCATCATCAACTCCTTGAGAACAATGAAAGGCAGCTGGTTTTCTAGCAACAAGAAGTCCAGTTCGATAAATGAGATCTGGTAAGCTTTCAGGTGATCAATCTCCTCTTTAAATCCAAACGAATAATGTTGAATGAAATACAATATAAAGCAGCCATCAAGAAGCATCATCCGTGTGAACTCCTTATCGGTAAAAGTACCATTTGTTGAATTAACCATCTCATCATCGTAGCAGTCCCTCACTTGTTTGATTATCGCGGAAAGCTTGTTGTACAAGCCTTCAAAAGTCTTCCTGTCATTTGAGACGAGCTCCCTTGCAAATATAGGCTTCAACTTGTTCATTTGATGGAGCTTCTCGTTGTGGTAGTGGCAAGGACCAATGGAAACAACCCTCGGCACATAGTATTTCTCAAACTCTTTCCTTTCTTGCAGCACCTCAGGAACCTTGTGGATCCTTGGCGCGGGCAGCTTTTCACCATTTTGATCAGCTGCAGATCCACTACTTGGTGTGCTAATTGCATCTAAGGAACCTTTTGCATTCGCATCTTCAGCTACATTTATTATGGAATTAAGCCACTCTTCGTCGCTACTTATGTTTGACTCCTCCACAGGAACCGCCTATTCAATATTGTTGGCCGTTGAAAATCTATGAGATATGTTGCGCCAGCCGAAGCAACTTGAATAAATATTGCGAATTAATTTTATATATGCTTGACTGTATTGTTGTATACATTGACTCGTGGAGGACCATTTCTCGTGAACAACTTTTTCACTTATCAACTTCTCTATGCAAAATGTAAAGAAGAGCAGTGATCTAGGAAGCACAGAAATCACGGATATAATATCACAAGAACACGGGAATTACGATAAATTTAAAATAATAATAACAATAATAAGACGCATGCATATAGTAATATAATAATAGTAATATAATTTATTATTATATATTAAAAAATTTAACCTTTTTTTTAATTTCTACACTATTTATAACCCATTTAAATTAGGCCTTCTACTTATTTCATATATATATATATATATGAAACTTACCCCTTTTTGAATATGAAGATATGTATAGCTGCTAGGTCCGCCCAAATATAAATAAAGAAATACATATCTTCATATTAAAAAGGGTGTAAGTTTTATCCTTTGACCAAACAGGGGATAAAACAAGTCCAGGTTTAACTTATAATCTTATCCCCCCCTCCTTTACTCTCTTTCTTTTACGGAGGTCCCTCTCCATCTGTTCTTCTCTCTCATCAACATCATCTCTTCACATTTTTTCTTCTGTTTCCCGTCTGATCTCATCGATGGTCTTATACATCTAACCATCAAGCAATTTTGAAGAGTCATCTGACTCATCTCCCGCAAATTTCAGATCAGGTGACATAGGAGAACACTATCTAAATTCTGTTGTATTGTCTCAGTATATTTGTATTTTGAACATTCTCAACGAACTTTTGTGTGTGTGTGTATATATAAATGTCATATTCTTCTTCTCTTTTTATTTTTATTTTTTTTCCAAAAGAAAAACTCTACATGAACAGAGGCGTCCATTCTATATTTAAATACTCCGTAATAAATAAATAAAAACAGGACAGTCAGTGCTATAAGGTGTTGTACACATGTCTACGTCCGACACAGGCAACGTGTAGGTAGGTGCTTCCTTGGCACAATGCAATTCATAGGCCTACCTTAGAGTTGAATTTGCATCATATAGAGAAGTGGGATCTCACTTCCTTATATCTTGCATACTTAATCGATCAAAACTATTTCAACCTAGTTATACCTTACAACTCATTGGAGATTATAAGTTTCAATATGGTCTAATTTGAGGAGATCCGACAAAAGTCATCATTATGTATAAAATCAAAAATTACAAGTTTCAGCCGTCACTCTCAATTCTATATGAATTTCAGTGTCTCTCACACCCACTTAAAACTCTAAACCCCTTATATATTAGATTATAAGAGAGTACTAATTAAGGTCCACAATCCATGAACAAAAATGAGTCAAAAAATTTCCTCTCGGCAACCCTGAACCCCTAGAGCTTTGGTGGGCTTGAGCCCACACAAAGCTCATCAAGCAGGTCACAACGCGACCCGGCACCAAATTTGGGCCACAACATCACAGAATGCCAATGCTTCCAAAGTCCTTGGGCTTGCAGAAATTGCACCATGCAATTTGAGCACTTGTAGCTCTCAAATTAACCCGACCATAGAAAGTTTTTAAGCACCGTGTTGACCTGATTGATGACCATCTTTGGAAGAATGAAGAGACCACACCAAAATCCAATCATATTGAGAAGAATTGTTTTGATAAGCTACAGCCTTCATATGAGAGACATCTTAAGGTCTTCTCCACCAAGGATTTACAGTCACTAGCAGTGAGTCTTTTGGAGATCAAAGGGAGCCCAAGATATCTAATTGGTAGGTTACCAACCTCAAAACCACAGTAATTAACCATCTGAGTATGGTCACTATCAGGGACACTGGATGTGAAAATAAGGCTTTTGGAATGATTAGGAAACAACCCAGAAAGCTGAGAGAACAGATTGAGAGCACCTGTAATGCGTGAGAGCTTGGTCTTCTTGCATTTCCAATGGAATTGGAATAGAGGTTCACTTTCAATGGATCTAAAAGTGATGGATGAGAGTACATCCATGACTATAACAAACAAGAATGGGAAAAGAGGGTTACCTTGTCTCAAACCCCAAGTGCCTTTGAAAACTCATGGAGTTCACCACTGAGAGAAATAAAGAAGGCTGGACTAGTGATACAAGCCCTAATCCACTCGACAAAAATGGGGGGAATTTAAGCAGCTGCAATGTGTCCAACAGAAAGGACCAATTGACTTTATCATGGGCCTTTTGAACTAATCACTTTCGCACCACGCAACTCATATTCCGTTGCGCCTACTCAACCTTTGCTTAATTATTTTAATTAAACTCAGTAATTCTTCAACACTTTTGCAAATTTTTTAGTTTCTTCAATAATAACAACAATGGGATCATATTTTTCTGACAAACGAATCAGAATTTTATCAACAATTCTTCAATCATAAATATTGACCCCAAATGTTTTCATTTGATTCACAACCTCCATAAGTTTAGAGAAAAAAAAACCCAGTAACTCCATTTTTGTCATTTTCATATTTTCAAAATATGTTCTTAAAGATTGAAGTTTTACCATTCTGACGTTCATGCTGCCTCTGTACTCCTTCTCAAGAATGTCCCATGCCTCCTTTGCTTTAGATGCATTGATGATGCTTGGAAAAATTATATCAGCAACCCCTTCTTGAATCAAAGCTAAAGCCTTTGCATCTTTCGTCCTATGATTCTTCAATTGTTGTTTTTGATCATTTGTCAAAGTAGGCGTTTCCTCCGGTACATCATATCCATCTTTAACATACTCCCAAAGATCATATGAAATAAAAATAGTTTTCATCTTTACATGCCAAAAATCATAGTTTTTTCCATTAAAAATAGAAGGTGAAGATTGTTGGACTCCCTGATTTTGATTGTTTAAACTCGTCATTGTTGTCGTCAATCTTCAATTTGGAACACTGAGTACTATAAAAAAAAACCACTGCCAGCATATATAGAACGATATTACAGTAGGAATATAGTAGATAGAGAGCATGAACTCAAATAAACAATGTGTTTTGGTTGAAGCTAATGCCAATATGGGTATGAATATATATGATTTTATTAATTGTAAACCAGCTTACCCAATTTAGAGGCGATCCTAGCCAGGCAAGGACAGCCCCCACTAGATTTTTTATATTTTTATTTTACACTTTATTTTTAAAAAAATTTTATGAATATGCCCCTACTAAAATTACAATTCGTCCTTCCTTAATTTTTTTTTTTTTTTTTTTTTTTTTGGCATTTTATATTTCAAATTTTTAAAAATTTATAAAGAAAAACTCATTGAAATTACAAAAATGAGCCTACTATATAAGTTTGCCCCCACAAATTAAAAAGCCGCCCCCTCACAAAATTTTCTAAATCTGTCACTGATCCTAGCTCGATTATAACAATGCCTGCAAGGATATATATATATTTATCTTTCTCTACAAGTTATATATAAACAGTCACACAGACAGACTAAGTTTTCCTTTTTATAACCAAAAAAGAACAAAATACAGTAACCCAAAAAAAAATTATGTCATGATGTTCATCGGCTTAAGTTGCGGACCACATACTTAATTTTCCTTTAAATCATATTTCATTATTGTAATTTTCCATCTTTGCTAAGTTTACAAATTATTAATTAATTCCTATTTAACCTTAATAAATGGGAACATGATTGTTACAAAAAAAGTAAAATGTCCTAATGTCAAAATCGCAGCTAAATAAATAAAATAAAATGTCCCTTTGGCGGGAAGAAAGAAAGAATGGTGGAGGAAAAATATGAAAGAAGAAACAAACTTCTTTCTTTTGACATAGAGATGAGACAAGAGAAAAGATGATGGATGAGTCATCCTTCCTCTTTTACAAATTTTCTTCTTTTCAAATATTAACAAATTACTCAAATGAAGAAAAACAATGCTATAATAAGTGTTTTTAAATTACAAAATCTTCTTATAATTAGCACTTCCTCTTCTCTTATCTCGTATCAAACCTATCTTATTCTCTTTTCTTCTACCCAACCAAATAAAAAGAGAAAAACAACAATCTATTCCATAGATATCTCATTTGCGTTTTTCCCTCACTTCCATCCAAACAAACATTATGGGATTAGCCAGTCAAATGATAGAAGATCAATTGCAGAGATGAAAGAGAACTTACAGGAGATGCAGAGCTAAAAGTCTAAAACGGATTTGTGGTGATTCTGTAAAGGAAAGAGTGATCTGCATGTGACGAAAACAATTCATCCTGTCATTTTTCTATTTAAAGACTCTACTAAAGATAAATTGCAATAGATAGAGTAAGATCCAGTGAAGATTTCAAAGCATCCGTCTGTTATAGCATACACCAGGACCTGGTTACAATAATTTTAGATAAACATGGAGTAAGTTGAGGCGTGAAACTAAGAGCTAATTTCCAACTCAATCTGAAAATCACGAAGCTCAGTCTTTCAAACAGTAAAATATAGCTTCAAATTTCAAAAGTAATCCAACATTTTAAATTACATGCACACCATTAATTTCACTAAACTCTGCCTTAACAGAGACAGTATACGACAAACAATCAAATTTGAACCTTAAACGTCAATCTCATAACATGTTCAAAAACAAATGTCGGTAGAGGAAAGAAGAGTGTAAGGTCACTAAAGAAACAATTAGATGAGATTCAGTCACTGATGTATTCAAATTAACATTTAGACACATCGATCATTTTGTACAAGTACAGAGTTCTAATATGAAACCTAATGAATTTAAATAAATATACATATATATACACACACACATATAGATGAACTAGCTTCAATTCGTACCGTCCGAACCAAATCGATGAAATTTGTGGAAAAAGAGAGCTGATAGGAGAGTGAGGGACAGTGAGAGAGAGATGAAAGTGAGAAGGGCATTGATAAGAGAGTAAGAGAGAGATGAAAGAGAGAGCTGATAGGGGAGAGAGAGAGAGAGAGAGGGGGGCATTGATGGCATGACCAAATGTGTGAAGGAAATCGATTCTATAAAGGCCGTACTGTAAGGAAATAAATGAAACGTTTAAAGGTCAGTACTTCTCTCTCACTCATTAGTGGGTTTTTATTATTAATAGTACGGGTATATATATATATATTACAAGTAATAATAGGATGGGACCTGTTTAGGCGAATAATCCAAGAAACTACCAAAAAATTTGAGAAAGAAAGTATGCAATCATTGGGGCTACTCAATTAAGCCTTAAAACAACTATTCGGGCTACTGAATCTGTGATTTCATTAACAGAATGTATTTTTCTTTTTTCAATTAAGCCTTTTTTTCTTTTTTTTCTTTTTTTCTTTTTTTGCTTTATTATTATTATTATTATTATTATTATTATTATTATTATTAGAAGATAATACTCGCACTCAGTTTTTATATAATTACGCTACACTCTAAGAGCATTTCCAATGAGTTCTCTAGAATTAGACTCTTTAAATTTGCCACATCAACATTTTTCAATAACCACGTCAGCGTTTCAGTGTCTCTAAATTTTAGTTATCGCATATAGTCCAATAGTAAATTTTTGCTCTCTAAAAATATTAATATTTAATATTTTTTAAATTTTTAATAAATTTTATTTTTCAACTTTTTCCACGGCTATATCATACAAAAAATTTAAACAATACAATATTTATTATAAATTATAAAAATCAAAACAATACAATACAATATGATGTCGCAGGAATATTTTAAAAAGTAACACTTTTCTTCCATTTTTTATAAACTTTTTTGGCTCAAAAAAGTCTTTAAGGTGCCAATAGTGCCCTAACGGGCTCTTTGGTTCAATTATTTTGAGGGAAAAAAAAAAAGAGACCAAAATAACCCAAAAAGCTAATTTTTAAGTATTATTTCAGCCAAACATGGCAGGCCTGCTCTGGCTAATGGGGTCACCGAAAACGACGACCCATTCCCTGATTTGCCCAATTTCTACGACCCACAATGGAGCAGCTGGGTCGCCAAAATGAGCCAGGGCCGGCCTGTGTTAGAGTTGCTCTAAATGAAAGGACACTTCTATCCCTAATTTTATAAAAAAATAATTATTTTTTTTCAAATACCATAATTACCCTTTTAGTTATAGAAATATATCTTTGTCTCATCCTCTCTTCCCAATTTAATATTTTGGGTCACAATTTCTCTCAATTATTTCTCTGCTTTGAATTAATTATCTCTGTTTTCTTTTAGTTAGAGTTTAATATTAATCTTTGTATGTAACAATAGAAGATTAGCACAGAAAGCATGTAAGAATTATCAAAAGTTTGTGAGCCATTCAACACCATCGATAATAATGGTGATGGTAATTTTTTCTTTTTCTCTTTTTTTTCTTTTTTTTTTTTTTTTTTTTTGTATTGTGTGTTCTGAATTTAATTTCAATTTTTTTTCTTCATGCGATTTTTAAGAATTAATTTGGAATGTATTTAAATTTTGAAAATTTTCTTGTTAAAAAGAGAGAAAGAGATATGGGTATGATGTCAAAACCTATATCTATATAATTTACTTTCCAAATATTTTCACCCTTTTTTTTTCCTTGCGGTATAATTTTTTTTTTTTTTTTAAAGATTAACAAGATATAATATTAATTAATTGAAAAAAAACAGAAAAAGAAAAAAAAAAATCATTCACTGCAAAAGAGTTCTTCAAGAAAAATATTTTATAAAAAGAAAAATTCTCAACAAAAACAGTGAAATAACTGATATAGAAAGAAAAAAGGTGAAGAAGATAACAATGAAATGGTAGTTTTAGCTAAATTAGTTAGTGCATTTAATATGTCATGTAATATGTGAAGAGGACAATTGATTTATTGCCACATTAAACTAAAATTATAGAATAAGTACAGAAGGTAAAAAAAAAAAAAAAAAAGTTTATAGTGCAAAAGTGGTTATGGACCTTATGGTATAATGCAAAGGGTGGTGATTAAAATAAAAGATGATGCATTAATTAGTTTAAGAATTTTTTTGTCATTCACATTTTTTTTAAAAAAAATTAAACGTAAGCGTTAAAAAGTGAAGTGGGTGAAGTTATAATATTGCCTCCCTACTACTATTATTATTATTATTATGCCCGTCTGTCAGCTATATGCAGAAAATAACACATAAGAAGCAGCTAATAATGCTTATGTTAACATTCGAATAGATACATTTGAAGGGTAAATAAAGAATTACAATAATAATCCATATTCTTTTAATAGTTTGAATCAATTGATCGAAATAATTATAAATGACGATAAAGTGACAAAATGCGTACATAAGATGTGAGATGGATTGATACGTGTAATTAAAAAAAAGTCGTGCATTGACTTGATGCTTATTCAATTAAGAAAAAGGAACACAAGAAAATCACATGCAAGTATGAAGTGGCAAGAATCAATTTCGCTTTGTGGTTGTGAATTAATTGTCTTTACACATGAGTTCATAAAAGTACTATTTTAAAGAGAGAGAAAAGCTAGGTACAGATCTCAATAGAGAGAGAGAGAGAGAGAGAGAGACAAAAAAAAATGGCTAATTTGTTTGTTAAACAGGCAAAGGAGTACTCGGAGAGTCGACCGGGTTACCCACAAGAAGTCTTCCAATTCATAGCGTCGAAGACACCAAATCACGACCTTGTGTGGGATGTCGGCACCGGCAGTGGCCAGGCCGCAATATCTGTCAGTTTCTCTCACTACAATTCTCTCTCTCTAAATTTCTCTCACTTTTTTTTTATCATCATTTTCTCCAATCTGGTAATTTTCTGTGCAATTGAGTTTTGTTCAATCCTTTTTGCATATCGTAATGTTTTAGCATTGTATAATAAGGATCAATAGTTTTTTTTTTTTTTTTTTCCCATAAAAATTACATAAATCATTTCATTATTATACCATACATGTGACCCCTAGCGAAGAAGAACCAACAAATAAATAACGAAGAAAAATATTTTTATGACCAAGTGGTCCAATTTATGTATATTTGAGGTTGCATGATCCTTTCTTTTTCTTTTCTGTTGGAAGACAAATATAATGATGTGAAATTGGTTATATTTTCTAAATTTGAAGAAAAGTGAAACAACTTCAGTTCGTAAATTGTAATATGAGTAGTATTCTAACACAAATCAATTTTCAGTTAGCTGGGATATACAAGAATGTCATAGCCACAGACACTAGCCAAAAGCAACTGGACTTTGCACCAAAACACCCCAACGTCCGATACCAATACACCCCTCCCAACATGTCCGCAGCTGAGCTCGAACACTGCGTGGCAGCGCGAGAAAGCGTCGACGTTGTGACCGTAGCTCAAGCCATGCATTGGTTCCACCTCCCCACATTCTACAAACAAGTGAACACACTGCTCAAAAAACCCCATGGAGTGATTGCAGCTTGGACCTATACGGTCCCCGAAGTCAGTGACACTATTGACTCCATTTTTCGACGAGTTTACTTCGTTGATTCAAGACCCTATTGGAATCCTGGCCGTCATTTGGTGGTGGACAAGTACAGAAGCATCGATTTTCCGTTTGAGCCGGTGGACGGAGCTGATCACACGGGGCCATTCGAGTTCAAGACAGAGAGGTTGATGGATTTAGATGAATATCTTGCATATACAAGATCAGGGTCAGCATATCAGACGGCATTGGACAAGGGCGTCGAGCTCCTGAAGGATGATGTGATCGACGAATTTAAGCGTGCTTGGAATGAAGATGGCAATGACCAGAAGATTGTCAAGTTTCCAGTTTATCTGAGGATTGGGAAAGTGGGCAATTTGGATAACTAGTTCATATCATTCACATTGAATATTGGTTCACATTGATTCAGAGCATACATTATTTGGCATGGTGTTAGAAGAGAATTCATTGAATTGCATATGAAAAATCAATTTTAGAAAACAAAAGAATGACATGGTTGCGTAACGCAACTACCGTGGTGTGTGTCAAGAATGACAAGTTTACTGAATTGATTTCTGTATAAGAAAATCAATTGTTAAGAAAGTTGAGTGGTCTTCTAAAATGTCCAGGCAATCAAATCCTACCTATCAGCAAACAAATTATGAAGCCCTACCCCCACACACACAATAAATCCTAATATATATCGTATGTGTTAGGTTGACATATGCACAGCTTTATTACATGCACATCATTGGTGTCACATTAGATCTCCTCAAATTAGACCATATTGATGAAAACCTTTGGTTGAATGACCAATTAGACCACATTTCTCCATTTTATAGGAAAACAAATGCGAGTTCCACACCATCAATCTTATATTCATCACAACAAAGGTCAAGTCTGATCCTTTCCATGTGGAAGCTTTGAGGGTTCAAGTCACCATGGAGGCATGGTCATATGCTAATGAGGCCACAAGAGAATTGAGGGTCATGAACTTGATCAGGTTAAATTTGAGATGATTCCAGGTATACAAAGAGGCGATGACTCCCAAAACAAGTTTCATTATCACATAGAAGATGGAACTGTAAATAAGCACCGCAATCAGCATAATGAAAAATAAAAATAACCCCATTGTGTTCTGAATAGAGGGAGAAAAGAAGTAACCATTGAGACGGTTACCACCAATCGATACTTCAAAACATATGCACGGGGATCTCATTCCGTCGTGGCAAGGGCTGACTGCAATACATCTTCAAGGTACTTCTCAGCAGCAGCATACTGCCTCTTTTTGTCCTCGATTGCTAAAGCGGCCAAAGCTTTATCCTGCATAAATAAAAAAGATTCTAAAAAGTAATGTCCCTGAAAGAAAAAAAAAACACGTTAATGTTTGGTATTCACTGAAATATGAAACTTACAGGAGGCAAGTCTTGGTAGCTTCTCAAAGTATCAAGGATGGGCTTTGTTTTCTTCTCCAGTTCCTTTCTGTGCTCTGCCATTTCAACCAAGACTCCATGGCTGATCTCTGGGGTGTAGCCCACGCGATTTAGTATAGCCTGCTCCCAAAGACGTATGAGCAATTCACATAACAAATTCAGATTGCATGTCATAACTTAATTGGGTGTCCGTATATATACATAAACAAAGTTTGATTGCAGCATTTATAAAGTTTGATTGCGGCATATATATATATATACATATATCCATCGGATTCAGTTTACAATTAGGATTATATAATGAAATACATCAAAAGAAGATCCAAGATGCAAAAACGAACTATGGATTCTGTTAATCAAAATACAAAGAACTAGTCTTTAAGAGACCCTTTCCAGAAAGGAGGACCTTATGCCTAATATGCCATACCCACAGCAAAAAGACAGGGACATAGATATATGACACGTGACCTGTGTCTAATAGGTGTCTGACACAGATACGTTATCTCTTAGGCATGTCTATGCTTCCTGGACTAGTCCCTCCACCGCCATTCTAGATCTAATCGTAAAACTTACGAATCCACATGGAAATTCTGCAAGCATAACATTTAGGGTCATCTTAGGAGAAAAGTTAATTACAAGACTCCACTCTTCACCTATATTTGAGATAAGGTGGGAGGATGAAGGAAATGGCAATTATTCTGAGTCTCTAAATGATAATCCTCCTTTGACCTCTTTTGTTGGAATAACGTGAAATAGGTAAATACTGATGAGACCCCTTTCAGTATGTATGTAACACCAATTAAGAGAAAAGTAATGTAAGAGCATGCTTTATTAATTATATTGTTTAACTTTGAGAATTTTCATCCCTAGTGTATTCCTTGGTCTTAAAACTACTAAAAACGGAAAATCTTCCTTACAGAGACTTAAAGCATTAAATCCATTACCACTAACTTATGCTTAAAAGTCAAATAATTTATTATAATTTCCTAGAACTCCAAATTCACAAGATTATGGAGTTCAAAACAAGTGTATAGCTATTCCTTAAGTTGCATGACAATATATATATATATAATACACACACACATATACATAACTTCAATATCCATGTCCATTTAATAATATCTTTTACACTCTGCAGCTGCCAATTGGCATTATGTGTCACTGCGACTATGATTTAAAACGTTGGCCCTAAGAACAGTCTCTGATCCAACATAAAATCTTGGAGCATGTTACTTCTTCAAATTTCTGCAATTTCTAGAAAACAAAAAAATCACTCCAGAATCTCTTAGAGAATCTAGAGAAGCCAAATGGATGTATTAAAGATACAAGCCTATTCCAAGAAGTGTTGGGTTGTCTTGTAGTACGCTCCTGAGCAGTTGATGTACAAACCTTCCATGAATCAAAGAGTCCTAGTCTTGACTCAATATGACCTTGAAATTACTTTGTACTTGAGAAACTCCCAGTAAAAAAGATATCTGGTCTTACTATTGTGCTTTTTCTTGTAGATAGCATAAAGATTCAAGATTTCATTAATTGGGACTAGGATTTTTATCATAGGCACATACTATGAGACAACCCTCATCTCACTCACAATGAACTTTATATTTTGACAGCATTATTAATTTGAACACTTGCGTATTCAAGAATGAATTTTAGATTTCTTAAACATGTGAAATTATGAATTATTGATCTACCCCTAAATTTCTTAATTTGATTAGTCTTTGCATCTTATTTTTCATAAGGCCTTGGATGTGGTTCTCGTGAAAGACAAATGGTGTCCCAAGGCCATTACCCAATTACGGTATATTTGTGGTTAGGCCATAGGAAACATTGGTACACGCTACTATAAATTAAAAGAAGTTGGGACATTTACCGCAAAATGTCACTGCAAGGTTTTATCCCAACTTACTCATGTGTACATCATGACCATCGCAATTATACTGGAACATAGTTCACCAGACACATCCAACAGATATCCCAACTGTTAACGCGTGTGAGAATGGTTATATATCTGGTAGTGAATGAGCGTAAAGGTCAAGTCAGTTGGTGGAGGAATAGTGCCACTACACATATGCTTCCTCGGTCCTTTCCCTATGCTATGCCCTAGTCTTCTCCCATCTTCCATCATTTCAATATTATACCAACCATCTTAGAGTGAATCACTCCATCCCCATTCACATCACCATTCTGATAAAAACCCAGTCAAATGATAGTAGTCCCTCCCAAAATTATGTCCTTTGTATTAAAAGGCTAAACTTAATGAAGTCTTTAAAAGCCTTCAAAAACCCTAAATGAAGGTATAGAACTCTTGACAAATTCATCCCCTCATACATGGCCAATTCTATTTACTTAAATGCGCCTAATCATCTATAGTTGACGTTTAACAAGTTGACCTACTCTAATGACTAATGAGTCTTCCCTTGATATCCATTCCAAAATTCATACTACATGAAGAAATAGAAATTTTCAATGTGTTTTTTAATTTAAAGGCTATCTCCCAGAGCAGCTCTTGCCTGCCGGAGAGGACTTAATCTTTGTCATTAATTTGCGCAGAGTAGCTGTTATCAAACTCAAACCCATATCTTAATATAGGCAGGCAGTATGATTTACCATTTACGCCGAGTAATGAGCCCGTCAACATTTAATTAATTTAATTAGTTTAAATAAGTTTCAAACTTCTGAAATAGAGGCTTCACAACTTGACCTCTTCTGATGGGTCTATGAACATTCTTTTAGACCAAGAGATATTTACAAAAGTCTCCCATTAGTATGAAAAAGGAAAAAGAAAAGGAATGTATGTTCAGTACCAATTTTTGTATCACCAAGTTTAAAGCAGTTCAATCAAGGGCGTTAAGTTAAAAACATTGTAATACTCTGAGTTAGAGGATTTTTACTTCCTTCTCATCTAAATTATGGTAGGCAGAGAATCATATTTGAGGACTTGGGTTTTGATCCTGCAGCTACCCTTCAGGAATTATTTGCCAGAACATTTTTGAAGTATATTATCTACCGCCAATAAACACGCTTTTCACATTCTGAGCTGTGTTACACTGTTTCAACATAACTCTCAGAGTTCATAAACCACAATTAAGATTAAAAGGGATTCTGACAAGAATAACTGCTGGATACAATTACACTGCACCACATATGTTACAGTCACAAACAAGATAAATCTTGGTGTCAATGATAGTAGGCTTAGACAATGAAAAACTATAACAAATGGACAACCACTTTGGATGATATATGAATCAAGAAACATATATTGAAATAAAAAAATACGAACTAATATAAATCATTGTTATGGTCACCATCTTGTCCTTCCCTCAAAAGAAAAAAGAAAAAAAAAAAATTTAGTCAATGGTTTGCAAACCTCTAATATTCTCCAAATAAAATGAATAAATTCATAGGTAACTGATAAGATACTAAAGATATATCTAGAATTAGGCAGGGGAGGGAGGGAGGGAGGGAGAAGGGAAAGAGGGGGGGGGGGGGGGGGGGGGGGGGGGGGGGGGGGGGGGTTTGCGCGGTGTAGAGAGAGATATAAATCATTGTTATGGTCATCATCTTGTCCTTCCCTCAAAAGAAAAAAGAAAAAAGAAAATTTAGTCAATGGTTTGCAAACCTCTAATATTCTCCAAATAAAATGAATAAATTCATAGGTAACTGATAAGATACTAAAGATATATCTAGAATTAGGCAGGGGAGAGAGGGAGGGAGGGAGAAGGGAAAAGGGGGGGGAGAGGAGGGAACAATTATAACACTGAAAAAAAATAAGTGGCACCTTGTAGTTGGAATATTGTTGCAGGTATTGCCGCTCCTTTGAAACCATAATTGTCAGGTTTGTCCTCCAATTTTCCATTTGAGCCTCACAAGGAGCTACATCATCCTCCAGTTGTGCAAGTGTTCTACCAATATTTTAAAAATTAAAAATAAATTATGTACTTCTAGATTTAAAATTAATCTAATGCAAACACTTTGCTTAAGAACTGTAAAAAAATTTATGTAAGAACCTAGAAGCATACAAAGGCTTTACCTTTTCAAATACGTTAGCCTTGCAATTGCCTTTCTTGTGTAATCAAGAAGAATTTTGGACTCCTTTTGTACTTTAGCCCTCTTCTCATCCACACCAGTTTTTCTTAGAGAAATATCCCCCATCGCTACAAGAAAACTATATGTACATTCCCAAGTAAGCCTTTGAAAACTAAAAGGGGAAAAAAATAAAAATTGAACAATATAGAACTTGAGAAAAAAGACAACTTGCCTACTTAGTTCAGTATCTCTAATATTCAACAAATTTGCCACATTCGAAAGAACTTGTGCTGATCCAACCACATTCGGAGGCAAACTTTCTTGTGCCAGTCCCACATTCTCTAATATCTCTCTAATCCTTGCAGCTACAATCATAAAAAATTTCAAAACACCTCCTCACGAAAACAAATATAGTACCATAACAAATAAACAAGCCTAAAAATCACCACCGTTAGATTGATTAAAATTTCCTCCACCTTCTAAAGAGTAAGTTAAGGTTTCAAGTCCCAATTGTGACAAAGTGTGAGTGTGGATGTGTCATAACTATCCACAAAAAATTAAATAAATAAATAAGAAGAAGAAGAAGAAAAATACATATACATATGTATATATATTAAAGATATAAAGAAGATTCATTAACCTTGGGAACGATACTCAGCTGCTTTCTGGCGGAAATCATTGGCAACAATACCAGCAGCTTGAGTTTTGGCTTGAGAGACCGCGGCAAGATTATGCAAATGAGCAATGCTTCGAGGAGTGTACTCGAAATCCGGAACATCTTTTCCGGCTCCATCAAATTGAGAGACAAGCCAAGATTTAACTTCTGCAATTCGACTCGCATCAAAACCACTCTTTGCTTCAGTTACTGGAGGGTCAGCTACAGAAACTGTATCACTCATTCTCTTTCCTTGTTCCTCAATTGAAATTTACAAAGGAATCTCTGAATTTGTTTTTTAATAGGAAAGGGTCAAAGTTAATCAAACAATGAAAAAGTTGATTCCTCTGGTTAAAATCAAATAGAAAAACGCAAAAGTTGAATTCTTTTCAAATGGGTTATAACTTATAATCCAGAAAATGGAAATGTTTAATCCTCTTGAAATAGCCTAAAACCAGATAGAAATGGAAAAGTAGAATTCTCTTTAAATGGGTTAAAATCGTAAAATAAATTTAACGGAAATCATCAACATGGAGAAGGATCATAAAAATATAATGCTGATCTGAGAAAACATGATTTGGGTTTATGAATTCTGTAACAAAGATCAAGCTATTGACAACATGGACTATATAGAAGTACCAGTTCAAATTGATGAAACCCTAAAACGGAATAGGAAAATAATCGATGTAAAGAAAATTTAGAGAGAGAGAGAGAGCAGACCGACGACCTTGATTGAGGAACTGTAGATGTGTTAGGTTTGCTTCGTCCGAATTCAACTGTTGAGATTCGAAAACTTGAACTACGCTTTGGAGGTATGTACCCTTTTCAAGCGAAATTAATTAATTTATTTCAAGTTTTAATACAGTATACATTTTCAGCTACTCATTGAGGGATGATATTAAATTTTCTTTTTACAGGTGAATTACACCCTTACTTACTTTTTCTTGTAAAATTCTCGCTGTTCAAATTTTGTTGAGAGAGTTATCTTACGCTTCACTTTTGATAAGTAATTTTGTCAATTTCATTTTAAAAAAACAAAATACCGATAAATCATACTTTTATCTTTTAAGGATTATCAAAACATTTCTTATATTTTTAAATGTATCCATATTTTCCTTTTGTAATTTGTGATTATAATTTTTTCTATTTCTGGTTTTTAGCTGTTATTTACATTTGTTGAAAATTTAAAAAGTTTCTTATATTTATATTACTTTTTACGTTTTCTGAATTGATAAATAAAAGAGGACTTTAAACTTTTATTAATTTAAATTGAATTCGAAGTCTTGTGTAGAATTTACAAAATTTTGCCAAAAGAAAAGAAGATTTAAACATACCATAAAAGATACTTATTAAAATTATTATTAACTTTTTTATTTGAAAAAACATTTGAATAGTTTAAATCATCTAGTTACAATTAAAATTAATAATAATGAAATTTTAGACTTGCTTGGATAACTGAATTGAAAATAATTAATAGTTTTGGATTGAATATGGCACTAAAATTGTAAATGCAGATGTTTGGAAGAGTGTCAATGAATATTATTAATTTTATATATATATATATGATTGAAAATATTATGAGCTTATAAATTATGCTAAAAAGATTTTAGAAGTAGGGACTTAATTAGAAGGAAAAAGTAGTATTAATCAGTAATTTCCAAGTGAACGAATAAAGTTGAGTTTTCAATAGAAAAAAAAATTAAAAAACCTCTTCTAATAAACACGATAAAACCCCAATTCCTAAATTCAAGTGGTGCCTCTGGCAAAAATGAATCGGAACTAGTGACAAATGTTAGTTGTAAAGAGTGGCGTTGATATAGTCCATCTAAAGTCATTCCATTAGCATAACAAATGACTGCAATGACATTTTTTCCATTTGAATTTGATATTGGTTTTTAGAGATGATCTTTTTGTTCCAGAGCATAAATATGCTACCATAAGAAAAAGCAGAACTAAATAACAAACATAGAAAATCAATAATTTGTACCAAATCCAATATGTTTTGGCATGACATTAGCACAATAGTCATACAGTCCAAGTAGAACAACTCCTACCATTTCTAAGGAGAAAAACAACTCCTACCATTTCTAAGGAGAAACTATCTGCTACTAGATTGCGCTAAAAGGCATCACCAAACACAACGGTAAGTTACATGTGACCCGGTAATGTCACCATTATAAGTAACTTTCACCACCTGCCCCTTCTCAAGACCATAATATCGTGCAATCGCATCTTTTAGCAGCATTCGAGGAAGCTGGAAACAATCAGACATCAAGTAGTTTAACATCAGCTAAAAGAATGGCAATCAAGTATATCAACTGTGATTTAATAACAACACTTCTTAGTCCTTTCAAGATTATATCTTAAAATTCAAGTTCACACAACAAACTATTTACGGAGGTCCAGAAATGAAGGGATATACTCCATATTGCAATCAGTTTACAATTTTTTGCCCAAATCTACATAAATAAATCAATAAAAGTTTAATTTCTGGGTTGCATTAACTAAAAAACCCCAACAAGTCTTATGATGCTTAGATTTGCATCTCTACAAGTTTTAAACAAATAACTTGAACGCCTTCCCCTTTACTACTGTAGTTTTATCAGTAAATTTAACTTCCAAAGGTTAATCTCATCAGCGGATTGCATGCATTTTTCTTTCCCCACTTGCACCAAAGCTATCAAATACAAAGTAATCAACAAGTTAACTTACACAAGGAAGAAAATAGTTTTCGAATTAATTGGCCATTCAATAATTTGGGCATGTGAATTGATTGAGGTTATGGCCTTTACATAGAGGGGAATGGAAACATAGACCCCAGGTAATTGGGAAAAAGGCGGTGGTGGTGGTCATTGTTATAGTATTAATTAGCCATTCACCACCGGAATATTGGCAATGCCCAATTTTTTTTTTCCTAGTTTGTACTCACAAACACTTGACTCTTCTGAGACTTGAACTCTGACCTCCCTTTGGAAAGTAAGAGGCTGATACCGCTAGGCCACTGGTAGCAATACCCAAATTATTGATCATGATTTGAACAATTTTATATTTGATGCAAAACCACCAAATCTTATGCATCAATCTATCAAGAATTTAACAGGAGTATGAACAGTGAAGCTAATCAAAACCAGGGCTTGAACTCCCATGTGCTATTCAACTTATAAAACAGGATACCCTTCTAGTATCAATGCTTGGTGCAATGGTAAAAGCTGATACCACCACGCGTGGGAATGCACAATTGATTCTTACTGTCGTAGTTTCATGCATAATATCTACAAAGTCTAGGCCTGTATCAAGAACACCTACCACTGGGCCATCAGCGGAGTTGGTATAACCTCTCCTCCTCCAAGGGGAGGTGAGGGATTCGAGCCCTATAGTGGGCATTTGTGGGTGTATGTGTGAGTAATGACCTTTCTGAAAAAATAAAAAATAAAAATAACACCTTTCCCAGCATCCCGCATAGATGGAACCTACAACAAATGTGCCTGTGATCATAGCATCCAACACAAGAACATAGAAACTCATCAATGAAGCAGACAAGAACCTGTTTCTTAGATGGTATCATCCGTTCTTACTTTCATTATCTTTGGAAACTAACCTGTTTTTCTTCCAAACTGTACTTCTTTAGGAGCTTTTGTTTCTCTTTATCAGTCAGTACCCGATGCTTTGGCTTCAACACATGCTTTGTAATATTAACAAGCAAGTCGGTAATCTGAAGACACCAGACCATGATATGATATTAGGTGCATGAAAAGGAAATTCAAGAATGAGATAATCCAAAAATTATAATTGTCACACAAAAAGTTGTACATAAAGAAGACAATATATGCATTTCCCGATATACATAATCAGAAGGGTTGACAAAAATATTAAGCTGTTAAATTTTAATGAGCTTAACAATAGACAGAAGTTCATCATTCGGAATAAGATGAAGTTACAAGGAAGGATAGTAATGAAAAATTACTTGGTATCTATGAAATGTCATCTGAAAGAATAATCAGATAATGATTTCGATATATGGTGGCATGAAAGCAAGAGATACATGAAAGACTGAAGCCAATGACATAATGAACTGAATCTGTCCCAGAAAATCTACTCAAAAGGTTTTTTCTTAATAGGATCTCCCCCATGCAAGAGGTGCCAATTATGTAACTTGAATGCAGGCACATTGCCCCATTAGACCCTCTTGGGCATACATGGTTGGCGAATAAGGAGAATTAGAAGTAGAACAAGAAGATACTTTTTTGGGTTCAAATGGCTCCTCTGCACAATAATAATTTGTCCCCAAGCTATACACACGCAACACATTTGCAGAAGCAGCATCCAATGCCTAAAGAATGAAAAGTCCAACCACCATAGTGCATGTTTCTAAACAAACAATTAAGATAAATCTTCCCTCAACCCAGAATTCTGATAGTGAAACCATTCAGTGATCATCGTCCACAAATTTGAATCAATGGTGTGAAGTATCATTAGATCATTAACATATATTAACACTAATATATACTCCTAAAAAAAAAAAAAAAAATACCAAAACTTTAATGGTATGAGAAAACTTACTTGGAATACTTCAACTTTAAATGAGAAAAGATCCACAGCTTTCAGAGCTTGGTTAGTTATTTTATTTTGCAATATTAATATCAGCCGACTCAAACTGTCTTTGTTAACTATCTGAGTTGCAATGCTGCGGATGACATTTACTTTTACCATACCTTGCCCACAGAAAATGACCAAAATCTGCAATTAAGATAAAAATAAATAAACAATTACATTCAAACATATAGAATTGTCTTTGATTATTAATGAGTGACACCGGACATCATAGAAGTGAAAACCACAAGCTAAAAAATAAATAAATAAATAAAATCTCATTCCAGCAGCTGTTGTTCAACACCCATCGTCTGTTTTCTAAAAGATTACCATGTCAGATGCCACCAATTAAGCCTTCCAAATGTATTGATGTTATTATAAATAAACATATATAAAGAGGCTCAATAATAGAACAATACTTCAATGATAAAAGCTGTGATTTTGTTTCTACGATAGGAACACCAAGACTCCTTGAGGAGATGTTCTTGGCCATTTAATCCAGGAAAGTTGTTATTTTCGGAAGTCCCAAAGTGCAGAGACCATCTCATTACTGCCATCCCAATGGGTCCTATTGAGCTGCCCATTGCATGAGGCCGCATTTCATCGAACTTTCCCATACACATGGATGCGTTCCATTTGGATGCACCAAACCACGTGGCAGCCTCCCATTAGGACCTCTGGTCAATATGAGGACTTTCCCACACCAATGAACCATATAACGATTCATCCCATCACAATTGGGTGAGACTCTCTGTGACACTTAATACGGTCCTACCTTTTCTGAGGCAGAACAAGTGGTCCAGATGCTAGGAGAACTGGATTATATATGTGGGAGGTTAATCACATGACAATCCATGTGTCACAAACACAAAAGCCACATAATCTATAAAGCCAGAAAGTCCATACTAATGGTATGTTTGGTTGGAGGGAAGGATTGAGGAGGGATGGATGAAAGGGGGGTTAGAAGAATCTCTTCATGTTTGGTTGGAGGAAAGGGAAGAGAGGGAGGAAGCAAGGAGGGATGAAGCATCCTTCATTTCTTTGCATTTTTCTATCTGCCCAACATTGGGGGGAAGAGAGGAGGGAGAAAAGTATCACTGCCAAAAAATATCTAATTTACATTTTTAACCTTCATAAAAATTAAAAATAAATATTTATTTTTTATAATTGTATATAATGAGGGTATATTAGTAAAAAGACTACAAATACTCTTTTTCCCTTCCATCAAACCAAACAAGAAAAAAGTGTTACCCCTTCCATCCTCTCTATTATCCATTCCATTCAACCAAACAAAAAACAAAAAATGAGAGAAACACCTTCCCTTCCCTAGGGATGCCTCATCCATCCCTCCCCCTCTCCCTTCCATCCATATTTCCATCCCTCCAACCAAATGAAGCATAAATGAATGAAACACTATTTCCACAAGGAATGAAAGACTCCAAGTTAGGGCAGGACATTACATCCTTCATAGTTCCAAAATCCAATAAACCTAGAAATGGTTGAGGCATTTAATTGCCAACCATAAAACAAAGGAAGGTAAATCTCGCAAGGATTTTTTTTATTTTTTTTTTACAAGTAAGATATGCCATACACTTGCAAGGATAAACCCCGCACGAATGACGAGGAAAACTATGATTTTTATTTTTTGGAAAAACGAATCTCTCAATTGTGATTATCCTCTCTTTTTTCCCACAACCATCATCATCCCTCTCACAGAGTAACTAATTCAATTCCACAATTTTACTTCAACTATAAATCAATTTCATAATTCTACTTCAATTAAAACTTACAAAAATAAAATCCACATTTAAAGTACATATAATATAAAGAATACATCCAAGGTTGGTGTGAATACATCCACAATACAGTAAGGTGGTTGTGAATTCATATTTAAGGAAAAGAATTCATTCACTCAAGGTTAACTATATATATAAATATATATATAAATACACCATATGAACCATAAGAGAGAGAAGAAAGGCTTAAAAGGGTAGTTCAGTCTTAAAAAAAGTACGTTTTTAGTGTCCCATTAAATATAGAAAACAAGTAATTAATGAGCTTGAAAGTAGCCAATTACAAAAGCAACTGTGGAGGAGTCGCCAAACATAAAAATATAAACAGGGGAGAAAATTATTCAACGCTCCATTACTGAGAGAGAGAGTTGTTCTTGTCATGGTGTACTGAATCTGTTAACTGCCCGCCATCATTTTCTGATAGTTTGCTTGACTCTCCACCTAGACAGGTCCCATCTAATTATGAGTAATATCTCCATACTACTCATATTCAAGAACCCACAGAATACAAGCCTAACCATTGACAATATCGACATAAAGAGGCTACTCTCATATTCGAACCACCATCCTTGACAAAAAAACAAAGCCACCCCAAAAGATAAAAATGAAAAATACAATATGAATCCCTGAAGAGTTTATAATGTTATGTTTCCATGAATGAAGTTACAGATAGATGTTTATCTATTTCTACATGGTTAAACTGATCAAAAAGTACACATGAACTATCAATTGAAAGAACAACCATGATAGTGATGACACAAAATGCATATTTAGAGAAAAGAATATTGACAAAGTTACGACTTTTAAATGAATGCCGCCCAAAGACGCAACCATTGAATTCTGCTACATTTTTACATTTCTTTGTACACATTAATGATCCACAATTTCTCAAACAGGTAAAAAGAGCCAAATGGAGGTAGATTATATTAATAGTTCTGAATTGATTTGATTTTTCCATTAAACTTAAAGAAGAAGTAAACCTATAATTTACTATGCCCATTTGCCTTTGCCCTATGTTTGTGATTGACTTCATAAGAATGGCCCCTTGGTCGAAGAGAACATTTACTATGAGATAGGCCAGGCCACATTTAAATTTCAACTTTACTCATTGGATGAGATGATTGATCTCTTAGGATCCCTGGGTCCTTAATCCCCTTGTTTATGTTCTTCTGTATTTCTTTCTTTCTCAATTTCTTTCTTTCTCACGTTTGGCTTGTTGTACTTGGATGCGTTCCCCTTTTGAAGGCTCTTTAATACATCTTTACTAATCAAAAAAAAAAAAAAAATCAACTTTACAGATTCAAATATTGATGACAATCAGTCATCGAACTGTTTCCATGGTTAAAACATGTTAACCCTGACCCCAGACAACTCCAGAACAAGTAACATCCTAAGTTCTTATTCCATAAAACATCCATGTTCCTTATAAAAACAAATGATTGTCCCAAATTATGGCTCTATACCAAGAATAGAAACTTAAAATAATAATAAATTGCATCTGTGTCTTTATACGCATAGAGAGCAAAAAAAAAAAAAGCAGAGCATAAAGACGCTGCTGCATTCACAGTATTACTGAATTTAGTAGTAACAATAAATTTTCAACATAAAATGTGCGGCCATATGCCCTAGGTCTTTTCATAAAAACTGAAAGAAAGAAGCCTACACAGCCAACTCTTTTCCAAATGAATTCACCAAAAACGTTAAAAACTATATTGAGTGACCAAAAATAAATTCTAGAGTGTGCAACTAGCGGAATAAGACCCTGTTAGAGCCCTTAACAAAGAAAACCCTCATGCGCACATGACAGTGTTTCAGTTCACCTACTAAACCATAAAAATGCTTTAAAATCTAGAAAATAGAAAGAAAAAAAAAAAAAAAAAAAAAATCAAAATTTTATTTGTCTACAGTTTTGTGAAAACCATTATCTGGAAACTAAATTAAATAAAAGAGGGCCTTAATTTATAGAACTGCATACCACAAATCACCACAAAAGTAGAAGCTCATATATATATATCTGTTTGGTTGCTGAGAAAAGCAGGGAAACATTCCCTTAAACAGGGTCTAATACAACACTTCACTTGTGCAAGTGCCTCAGTCGTGAAAAGAAAAACAACAGGAAACAGAAATAAAAAAAATTCCATTTTACTTTACTTCCATTTCTCGGCAAGCAAACAAGAGGGTTGGTTTACTAAAAACAAAAGAAAAGAACTCTGACCTTGTTTGATGGGTCGGATCGGAGAGAAGCCCCAATCCGAAGGCGGTCGACATCGGGTTTGTCGGTGTAAATGGATCGAAACTCTTCAAGAGAGAGATTGATTTCAGAATCAGGAACAACATAGCCTCTGTCTCTCAACATCTCCAACGCAGTTCTCCGTGACAGGTAGTATCTGTGACTCTCCATGCTACCTTCGTCCATAAAGCTGCTCAAACACCTCCCCAAACCCTCCCTACCATTCTCATGATCCCCTCCATCCAGCGCCTCCGCATCCATCGTCCCCAAAACCCTCTCTCTCTCTACACTTTATCTCTCTAAAAACACAGCTAATTAGGGGATGCTCCCAGGTTTACAGTCTTGAATTGAATCACTGGCTCACTGGAACTGGATGACTCCTTACTTTAACCGGAAAGGAAACCTGGGATGTGATTTTCTCACCCGAAGGGTTCGATGTAATAGCGTATTACTTGACACGTGTGATTTGTGGCCAATAAGATTTTGACGTGTTATTGACGCAATGGTGCCTTCCGGTAAAAATATCGGTTAAGTTTACTGACGAGAGTTTCCTACTTCACGTGGGTTGTGTCAGATGGTGTCAAGCTTGATTAGATTTTGCAGAAAAGTTGAATCTAAATGTGAAAATAAAAGTAACTGATTTACTTTTATTAAACAAAGTTCTTCTAATGGGAGGAATTCCATCCATACCACTCCGGATGAGATTTAAGTAGGGGACCTGTGCAGTTGGGCATGGAATGGAAATCGAATTACACTGTGACTTAATTTGTAGAGTGGAATAAGTATATAATTTCAGCTATATATATTTTTTTTTTTGCCTGGTATGATATTTAGAATGAGAATGATTATTCTCTTTAAACAGAAATTCATTCTACTTCTAAATAGCCCACCAATATAATCTACCACCACCACAATCAGCCTTTCCACAATCACCTCCTTCCACGGCTACTTTCTGCCACTACCACTGCCACCACTATTGTGGTCACCACCTTCCTCCATCGCCATCACATTTTTGTTACCGTCGCCTTTCGCCACTGCCTTCCACCGCCACCATCACTAACGCCTTTCACCGCCACTACTGAGAATGGTAATTATCAATTCATTCAAATATCATTTCATATGTACAACTAAGTAAGATAATGAAAAATGATCATTTCATTCAAATTTAAACTTCATTTCATTCCATTCAATTTCATTCATGCCCACCAAACTAAGCGTGAGGGTGCAATTAGGGCTCCATTTATTTCGACGTAAAATATATTTTTTGACAAATATTTTTCTTTTTCAGCTAAAATATTTTTTTATTTTTACTTTTTTAGTATTTGGTAAAGGTCTACGTCAAAATTGAGATCTAGTCACTCGGGCAAACATGTAAAATAACTTGTTGAAAATTGATAAATAAGTTATTTTTGTTCAATTTTAATATTTTTTTTCTTAGTAAATATTTTATGACAACCAAACACCATAAAATAAAAAATATTTTCTAAAAAATATTTTACATCTAAACAAACAGAGCCTAGAGTAAACTCGTTATAAAAAACTACTTGTATTTTATTATTTTTTATTAAATTTGTCATTTCTTGTTAAACTATAATCATTATATTTCAACTTATTTTAATATTAATTAATTATACCATTTAATTAAATTTTATTATTAATATCAAATTATTATGAAAATAGAAAGAAAAAAAATTAAACAGAGTTATAACTACCTTTTCCTAAAATGATTACTTATTATTAAAATTTTACTATTTATAATAAAAGTTATTACACTAGATTTAAACTTTTTTACTGTAAAAAAATACATTTTTATATAATATATTTATGAAAAATTAATAAACTATTTAAATGAAAAAATACATTCTTTTCATGCAATATATTCATTAAAAAAATAAAAAAATTACTTAAATTGTTTTTAAAAAAATTACTTCAAATTTTAATTTAAACATTTAATTTTAAAAATAAAATTTTAATTTAATAAAGAACATGTTAAGAATTTCGGTCATTTAATGAATTAGCCCGCATGGGCCTTAGAATTGGCATAGGTTTTTGTATTATTGGTCTAGCCCTTGGTCTTCTTAATCTGGATCTGGATCCTGGTCATAGGTGGTTGGGTCGGCCCCCGCCCCCTCTCTCCCTTGGGCGTTTATGTAGCCTTGGGATTATCTTGTACACTCTTGTTCATTATACAATTTGCATTCATTAAAAAAAAAAATACTACGTATACTCCGTATATATTGTGGTGGTCCGAAAGAATAAAGCTCACTCGATATTTCTTTTTAATGAAATTCACTCTTGCAACAGATCAATAGCAATTGTTAAGGTAAATTGCCAAAGTTATGAAAAAATAAATAGTGGAAAATAACTATCAATTGGTTAGAAATGATTTATGTTGTCTTCAGTAGGAAATAATGGAAAAGGATGGAGAGAAAATAAGAAAAAATGAACGAACTTATTTTGTTAGGTAGAGAGATGTTACAAGGAAAAAGAGAAGAATAGGAAAGATGACTCATCCTGGTTTCTTTACAAATTTTCTTTCCCGGAAGAAAGAAATGAAGACAAGTGAATTATTACAATATAAATTACAATATTATAAATATTGTTGGATATAATGGTAAAAATAATTAAGACTTTCTCTTTCTCTCTCTCTTAACCAACATAATAAATTACGAATTTATTTTATTCTCTTCTATCTAACCGAACAAAAAGAAAGAAATACAAAATATCTTCCTTGAGAATGTCTCATCCATCAATTATTTTCTCCATTCCATCCAATTTTTTTCTTTCCTACCCAATACAGTATTAAGAGCATCTCCAATGCAAAAAGTCATTTTCGCATGCCAAATTTATATTTTGACAAGTGTTATAGTGTCAAAATATTACATTTTAGCAATTCTGTTCCAATAGTGCATTTCATGCAAAATGCTATTTTTTTACACAACAACCATTTTTTTTCAACTACCATTCCCAACTACCATTTTCAACTACTATTCTTTTTCAACTAAAAAATTTGTATTTTTTTTTTTTTTTTTTGTGAGTGTTTATATTTTATTTTGCTTATTTGCCTTGTTAAAAATAAATAAATAAATAAATTTGAATCATCAAATCCATGTTTGGCATTTCAATACTACTGATAAGGATAAAAATAATAGGAATTGATAAGGATAAAAATAATAAGCAACTTAAATTCAAATGAGAAACGAGATAAAGGTAAGGATAAATCTCCAAAATCTCTGTGGAATCATAAAAAATCTCTTTGACGGTTACCATATGTAAGACAGTTACCATCTCCTGTAAGAAGGTAAATAATCGACTTGAAAGATATAAGATAATTAATATATTAAATCTTGCTACTATTTCAGAGCTCCGTGGACTAACTTGAATGTCGGAGGGCTCTTGGTAAGCACCTCACCGGTATTGTCAAAGTTCATTACTTCTCTTTGCAGGAAACGATGTCATTCTGGATCGTGCAGAATTTCGCTTCAACAGTTGGCACCATCTGTGGGAAATGATGAGTTTCATGAAAATTATAATTCTGATGCGATCCGACTTTGGCACAAACGTGGGAATAGGGATAACTACATATAACGGCTGTGTAAAAATAAATAAATAAATAACCATTCTCATAAGGATCAAGTCTAGTGCCGACAGGTCTCTATTATCATTCAACCCTAGAAGGAGTTGTTGGTTGGCTATTTTCTCAATATTCAATTCATAGGGAAAAGAAGAAGAATTCACACCTTTCCCCTATTGACTAATTCCTTTACAAAGAAGGAATACAAACCGAAGCTTGGATATAACTTCGTACAAACGGAGTAGTAATCCGAAACTGGGGTTGGAAATTCCCTCAACATTGATGAGACAGACACCATGCATAAGGACATGGAGGTATGCAATTATGCATGCTATTTAAATTAAATTAATTAATGTATGCATGCTATTTAAATTTAATTAATTAATATATACATGCTGTTTAAATTTAATCCAACCATCTCCATTGTCTGTTAAGCATGACAAAGGCTTTTGAATCCCAAAATTCAAAAATATATACTGTTATAGTTTGCTTTTTAATTTTTCAAGAAGCTTCTTTAACCATAAATCTATATCAATACCATCAATTTCTACCCATTCAAGAGTACCCATTTTCTAAAACTGGTCTAGAAAATGGTCAATCTTCACAAAAGGGAAGCGATGGTTTCACGTTTTGCCCCAATCTGTTTTGAGTTCCAGCAAACTCATTAATTGCATGTTCAACAACCCATTTTTTGAACCAACTCCAAAGATTCGTTGGTAGTATTTTGTCAACTTGACAATGGTTGTGTCTAAATGGCAATATATAAATTTTGAATGTCATTCTACTTTATTTATTTATTTATTTTTTTCTTGGAAATAAAATGAAAAGATTTACAAGGATGAATGTGGCCAACAATTGAGTCACATGAGATTTATTATGAATCTATCATTGTGATTTTCATACATGTTTTTAATAAATGACCTGCATAGTTTCTTTCCTCGATCTCTTTTTTTCCCCTACTATTGTTGGATATTGTCAATAGTAGTTGGGATGGTTTGGTTATATAACCTTTTAAAATATTCATTAAAGTAGATAAAGTCAATATCCCACGGCTCTAAAGCTAGTTATGTTGCTATCTCAGAGCTCACAGCTTCTTATATATTTCTCTTAATGATTGCTACATTGAGCCATGCAATTAGCTAATTCTAGTATATAGTTGCTCTTATCATTTGGTCATTTGGGAACTATAATTTATTTACAAGAAAAAGGTATAAATGTTAATTGATTAGGTTGTGAAATATTTATCATTCTTTTGATTAACACTACAAGATTAATAATTCAATCAATACATTTAGTGTCACTGTCCTATTTATATGTGGCCTTTATTCAAAAATTTCAACCTTGTGTTGAAACTTTGGCAAAACATAGATCTCGTGTCATGGTTTTCTTATGAAGAAGCAATTTTTACAACTAATTATGCAATACTTTGTTGACATCAACATTGATGATTAAATGTCCATTGGAAAAAGCCACGTTTCTCGATAACACTGAATTTAGAGTAACTGTAAGCAACACATTTAAAAGATCAGCAACTTGTAAGAAGAAATGTATTATGTTTCACTACTTTCTTTTATCTCTAAAATGAAAAAGACAACATTCTTACTCAAGAGGACAAGTAATTCTTTTTCTTTAAGTGTGATTGATTTCCTTCACCAAAAAAGAAAATAAAATCAATAAAATAATAATAGGGTTGATAAAAAAGTTTAAGTGTTGAAACGATTTAACACCTTTTTGATCTGCAAATTTGATTGGGATTATATTGTTGGGTTCATTCTTTAATATCTTTAGATTTCAGAAGACCCAGAATTCTATCATGGTATTAAAGCTTTTGCTTAGTTTGA